CACGCTCATTAGAACGGTACAAACTCTGCTTTCGCCTTATACACTTTATTTCTGTCAATAGAAAATTGTACTTAGTAGTCACTATTGTCTTTTAATAATATAAGTTTGCATATGATAGAATACTGCATGATGACCTCTTTATGACTCAGACTGTTGTTTATAGTTCACTGTGACCCGTTATGCAGGGAAGGAGCAGTACCTGCTAGATAAGAGCTTAACAAGCAGTTTTACTTCGTGCCAGGTAGAGAAGCCTCTCCTGGCACATGCACACACGCACACGATGCGAGATGACTCAAGACTTTTGACTTTTGCACAGCAGTATTCACCCAGTTCATACTGAGACATGTTCCCATTAGCATTCCTGTGCTCCTTCGACCACACATTAAGGCTATATGACATAAATGTCGCCATGTACGGCATTTGCTTGCGTACTTTTATCTTTACTTACGGCATGTTTGATAGAGTAGTTCATGATGATGTAATCTTTTCCTATCGGCAGCCAGGAGCGGAGCGTGATGACGTCACGGTTCCGAAGTGGCTTTGGGCACTTCCCTGTTAACAAACAAGAGAAGTCAGGTGAACAAAACATCACAGAACAATCTGTACCTGAAGGCAATTTACATGCGTTTACCAGCGAGTGTGCAACATACATGAGTAGTAACCAACGTCCGCATTGACCGTAAGCTTCCCAATATCGAAGGTCTCAATGACATTTGTGTCCCACTTCTTTCTGTATTCAATGTCATGGAGAACGTCATACATGGTCTCAGCTGACACATCCTTGCACAACATCCGACACTGAGAGAGGGAGAAGGACAGAAAGAGAAACAGAGGCTTCAATTTTAGGCAACAAAGGTAAATCCACAATGATATTACAGATTTGAGTCCCACACAAAGTTCCACACAGCTTATTCAAACTGTATTTAAAATACATAACTCTATGGCACCAGTACTGCACTTCTTTGAATTCATCGCTCTGGGTCTAATGCAAACTATGAGGTAGGAAAATCCATTAGAGTTTAATGAAGCTGCTCAGCATAAATTCAAAGTGAAGTAGTATACCACTGTTGAGGAGAGCTCAGGCCAAGTGATGCCAAGAAAGGTAAGTGAGACACAAAAACAAAGGCCAGTGAACGCATCACAGACTCAAATACCTGAAAATTAAACATATGCACACACTCACTGCACCCATGTGGACTCCACACATGAAAGAAACACGAATGGCAACTGATGTGTAAATGATTAGACATCAGATGGTTGGAGAGCGTCAGTATTGGAGAGCAGAAATGGGAACTGTGTGTGTGTGTGTGTGTGTGTGGCAGAGAGACAATCAGTACAGACAGGCCACTAACCATAGATGAGTCATTACCGAGACCCAAGCTCTTAAATGGAAAACACATTCACCACAAGACAGAGATGGAGAGACTTATGTCAAAGGGTTGTTGCTTTTTTTCAAGAGTGCAGCAGTAGCAAGAGCTCTGAATGCCACCTTTTTTAAAATCTTTCTGTGGTTCTGTCTGAAACAAACGACGTGTGAAGTCTCGTGTGCACTAGAGCACCAGCTTTTAGACTAAAACAACCTTCCTCGTATCAGTTATGCTGTGCACACTGAATAGAAGTGTAAAACATACCGCGTGGCCACGTTATGCTACAGAAAGACCATCTGCAGGTAGAGCTGCTTTTTCCTGACGGTTTCTCTCGTTTTCTGTTGTGCATATTCCTTTCAGACGTTTCATGTTGACATCTAAGACTGACTTACAATTACTAGGAAGTTTTTATTGCACTTAAAGCAACATAACACATTGCTGTCACCTCGAGGAGGCTGGTGGTGGTTAGTGGCGTCTGTTTGCTTCTTTGCTTCACTTCATGTCTACCCCAGAGGGGAGACACACAGTGAGTTAATGAGCAGGAAAACAGCAGTAGAGAGTCTAGCTGAAATGAAACAACTGCACATAAATGCACGGCTTCGGCGAAGGAGGTAAAGTTGGTCATCTACTAATCAGAACATCAGTAGTTTAATCCCCAGCTTCTCTAGTTTGCATGCCCGAGTATCCTCGGGCAAGATACTGAACGACGGGTTGTCTCCAATGCGTCCATTGTGTGTGAATGATTAAAAGCACTTAGGTATTGAAAACGGTGCTTGTATGACTGGGTTTGTAGTACGAATGTGT